ATGCAGAGCACATCATGAGAAAGGCGGGGCTAGATGAATTACCAGTTGGAATTAAGATTGCTGGGAGAAATATCAACAACCTCAGATATGCAGATGATACCACTCTCATGGCAGAATGTGAAGAGGAACTAAAGAGCCTCTTGATGCGAGTGAAGGAGGAGAATGCAAAAGTTGGCTTGAAACTTAACATTAAGAAAACTAAGATCATGGCATCTGGCCCTCTCACTTCCTGGCAAATAGATGAGGAATAAGTGGAGGTAGTGACAGATTTTATTTTCTTGGGCTCCAAGATCACCGCAGATGGGGACAGCAGTCAAGAAATTAAAAGACTCCTGCTCCTGGGGAGGAAAGCTATGGCAAATCTAGATAGCATACTAAAAAGCAGAGACATCACCCTGCCAACAAAAGTGCATATAGTCAAGACTATGGTTTTCCCAGTTGCAATGTATGGCTGTGAAAGCTGGACCGTAAGGAAGGCTGAGCGCCAAAGGATTGAGGCCTTTGAATTGTGGTGCTGGAGGTGACTCCTGCGAGTCCCTTGGACCGCAAGGCGATCAAAGTGGTCAGTCCTAGAGGAGATCAACCCTGACTGCTCTTTAGAAGGCCAGATCCTGAAGTTGAAACTCCAATACTTTGGCCACCTAATGAGAAGGAACAACTCACTGGAGAAGAGCCTAATGCTGGGAACGATTGAGGGCAAAAAGAGAAGGGGATGGCAGAGGATGAGGTGTCTGGATGGAGTCACTGAAGCAGTCGGTGTGAGCTTAAGTGGACTTTGGGGGATGGTGGAGGACAGGAAGGCCTGGAGGAGTGTTGTCCATGGGGTCGCAATGGGTCAGACACGACTTCGGAACTAACAGCAACAAATCCATGACCTGTTGTTGGGTTATTTGATGGCTATTTCACCCTCCAACAAATCATGTTGCCTGAGTTCAGACAACAGAAGCCACCCCCAGCCTGGTAATTAGGGAAATTACCCATCATGCTCTAGCATGCACTGTAGTTTAAACAAATCACCACGGCTTATTTAAGCTGTGGATATCATGGGAACCTTGTCTATGCTACAGTGAACAACAGCCTCACCTTTAAATGTGTTTTAATTAATATAGTTTAGAAATATTTTGGTGGTTGACACTTTGTTGCTTTGCATATTGGGTTAAAAATTCCCCTAGCTCCTTCTGGCTTTGGGGAAACCTATTCCTAATCATGGAAACTGCCTCAATGTTGCAATAGCACCTGATACCAAAAAACTATAAGGAAGAACATTTTTCTAAACAGCTAGTCACAAGACCACCTGTCACAAGATTGCAGCAGGCAAGAAGCAGTTAGCAAGTACAGCCAGTATGGAGCAACACTTTATGCTGGTGACATAAGTTAATATAGGGGCAGTCTTACATTCTACCAGATACACATGGCAATTATTATACATTAAGCATAATTAGGTTTGAACTACTATAAACTGCCCACAGAGCTTAGAAACAAAACAAAGAAACAAACAGGTTTGTAAAATTCAAGACTAGGATATTCATAACAGTCTAAGAACTTCCACCACAGTAAGTTTACACACCCCTACTGCCAGATCTTTATAAAGGAAAGATGATGAGCAATTGCAGTTCAAATGGGTACAGAAAAATTGGAAGAACCAAATTTAAATCCCACCTCCAACACAGATGTATTCTATAGTCTTGGCCAAAGTATCATTTCCCAAACTCCATTACGTATGTGTAAAACAGCAATGGTAGTAGTAAAACTTGCTCAGCTTCTGGACATGTGTAACTTTCAGCACTATTGATCTGATTGATACGTATGGGTGTGTCCACATAGATTGCGTGGTGACTTGTCAAGATTTTGTACTGTGTAAACAGTATAACTGGATTACTCTGCTGCAGTATAGTTTTATAACTGCTTATTTAAAAATCAGTGCTCAACACTACTATCTTGAATGGAGTGTCAAGCTCCTCTCAAAAACTCCTGAGAATCTTGACAACTTAAAAGTGTGAGAAAACTGTAATTTGATCACAACATTATTTATTTTTTTCTCTATCTCACCACAGTGGAAGCTTTTTGGGAAGTTTACAAATTATGATTTCCACAATGGGGAGAGGATGGGGGAGAGGATGAGAATAACTGTAAATGTGCAGTACAGAAAGCTGATGAAGTCTTGTGAGGCAATCTGATCAGCTCCTGAAGCTAATGTACCTGGATAGCCACAATCTAGCTACAGCTTTTTCCAGTGACAACAGATATGTACATTTAGCATTTACCTTCATAAAGAATTTACAGAAGATGCACATAATGCATTTTTGTTCCTAACACACACTATATTTTGAGCTTGTGAATAGTTACTAACAGTGGAAACCATAACTTAAAGTCAAATGGCAATCCACAGTAATCCCAAAAAAGGTAGCTAATTCCAGTAACCCAGCTGGCAAAAGCAATTAAGCGTCTGAACTAAGCTTTTCCTAGGAAATGTGCTATGATACCTATCATAATTCACATAGCTTCTTGGCTAACATTCTGGAATAAGGCACCACTTCTGGAGTTCATTTGTGGAAAGCAAATATCTCAGCATTATAGCACTCCATGCACCCCCTCAAGGTGCTCACTACACTCTCCCAAGGGTTCATGGACCTGATTGGCATCCTGGCCATTGCTTCTCACACAAACCCTTACATAAACCACTTTGTCCCGCTGCTACTGTCATGAAGAGCAACCTGTATGAGGATCTCTGGGGTAGGATGTAGACCAGGGGTGGGCAATTAATTTTCCTATGGGGCCACATGAGAAACTTTGACAGTTGTTAAGGGCTGGACCAATACACTTACAGCTCTGCTCAATATATACCTCTATAAAAACAGTAAATGAAACATTACAATGATACTATGAAAATGTGGAGCACAGAACAACACTATTTAATGAATATTCACAAAAACAATAACATTACATGAAAAGCAATAAATTCAATTCAATTTAGCAGATCCTTCAAAATAAAAGCAGTGCAGTTGTATTGCTTGCATCTATATTACGACGATATATATTTACATTGACTGTTAATTTGCCAGTGACCGCATGCCGGCCAGTCAGGCTCAGCCATCGGGCTGGATGTGGCCCGTGGGCCATACAATGCCCAGGTCTGATGTAGACACAAAGCTCTTTACTCTCTGCCCCTCAAATCCTCATTCAGATCAATGGGATGTGTGTACTCCTATGAGCAATCCATCACTTCCAGCCTTCAGAGCTAAAGTTTCACACTCCTGAAATACTTCATGGAGGAGGAACTCTCTTCACTTCTGACATTGCAACAGATGTTACTCCACAATGGTGGGCAACCAGAGTATGCATCCAGTTCCTGGTGTCTTTCTTTTCCCCCATAATCTGCACATAGACAGCAGAGATGAGGGGTTCACTCAAGGAATAGGGAAACTGAGGCAATGTAGTGTTCTTTGGATCTTGGGCACGCACTGAACTTCACTGGAACCAAATCAGGCTTGCTGGGTCTCGCCATTTTGTCCCATGCCCCTCAGGAGCAACCAGGCATAAGCTTAGACACAATGACATGGAAGCACACTCCCAAGCAGGCATACCTAGAATTTTGAACGAGACTTCAGACCCTGAGGTAAAATTAAATATGGCTCCCTTGGGCTGCTCAGCTAGGGAACTGTCACTCCACTGAGAGAGACAATGTAGTGGTTAAAATACTGGACTGGGATCTGGGAAATCTGGGTTCTAGTTCCCAGTTAGCCCCAAAGCTGATTGGGTGACTTTGAACCAGTTATGTACTTTCAGCCCCATCTACCTCGTAGGACTGTTGTGAGGATAAGCTTTAGAGGAGGAGGAGAATTATATAAGCTGCCCCAAGTTTCTTGAAGGAAAAAAAGGCGGGATGTCAATATATTAAATATATACACTGGTGAAGTGAGGTGTGAATGGCAAGCCAGGCCATTCCCAGTTCACGTCTTCCCTCTCCTATTAGTCAAGCCAGCATCGCCCAGGACCGCCCCGCAACAGAGGGGAAGAGCCGAACCCAAGCTGAGGCGAAGTGCAGGAGACCCAGCCGTGTGTACCCGGGATTCAGAGGACGGCAGAACAGCTCCCAGCTCAGCCTCGCGTACGAACCAGCCTCGCAAGGAGCGCCAAGCCGCTCGCCTCCGCCGCTCGACCCCGCCAGGCCGGGGGAAAGGGAACTTGACCCGCCGCCACGCGCGCTCAGGCCGCAGCAGGAGGCGGGGCGGACCAAAGCGAGGCACCCAATCAGAACGCACGCCACGCCCCCCCCGGCTGCAATGGGCGCGCGTGCGTACTCCCGACGCTGGCCCGCGCGAGGGAAAACACGGCTGCGAGTTTCAACGAGTTCCTCACCCAGCCCGGGGAGGCGGGCGCGGCGCCTGCGCAATGCGAAGGGGCGGTCCGGCCCGCTGCTGCCTTGGCCTCGCCCGCCGCTTCCTGCCCTGCCCGAGGGGCCCATTTAAAGGCAGCGACGGGGGCCAGGCTGCCCCCGTGATTGTGCGCCAAGGCGCCGAGCTCCCGCCTCCGCCCGCGCCTTCTTCCCTTCCCGCCCTGCCGCGTCGACGCCCTTCAGTCTTCCCTCAGAGCCGCGTCTCCCTGTCCCGTTACAGCTGAGGTAACCGCTACCACAGCCATGTACCGTTGCTTGGGGGAGCTCCTGGCACCCGTTCGCGCGGCCGGCGCCGGCTCGACGGCGCTGTCCGGCGCGGAGCCTTGCGCGGCGGGCCTGCTGGCGGCGAGCGGTCCGGGCGGCGGCGGTGGCAGCAGCAGCAGCCGCCGCCGCTACAGCCAGGCGGTGGAGCGGGAGGACGACCCCAACTTCTTCAAGATGGTGGAGGGCTTCTTCGACCGCGGCGCTGGCATCGTGGAGGACAAGCTGGTGGAGGGGCTGCGCACCCGCGAGAGCCCCGAGGAGAAGCGGCACCGCGTCCGCGGCATCCTGCGCATCATCAAGCCCTGCAACCACGTGCTCAGCGTCTCCTTCCCCATCAAGCGCGACAACGGCGAGTGGGAAGTGATCGAGGGCTACCGGGCGCAGCACAGCCAGCACCGCACCCCCTGCAAGGGAGGTGAGCAGCGGCGGGCGCGGGGCGCGCGGCGGCGAGGAACTAGGCTCCCCCCCACGCGCACGCCCGGAGAAGCGGGGGGCCGTCGCCCCGGCTTCCCCCGCCCTTCCGTGGCTCCCCCTTCCTCCACGGTCGCCACCAAAGTCCTGTGGCCCCTTTGAAGCCCAGCTGTGCCTGAGCCCCCGCGAGACCAGCGAAGGGTCGTGAGGCTCGAGAAGCCAAAGAAGGCTGTGACCAGTGCAGCCAGACCGGCTGGCATGGACGCATTTCAAGTTCGACCAACGCTGGTGGCAAGCCTTGCTCATCATGCAAACTTAGGACACCGTGAATGTGCTGCCACTTGCTCTCTCTTCACTCTGAAATGAGTTCCATGGGCTCCATTGTAGCTAGGAAAGTGTGTTTACGCTTACAGCCTTAGTCGTTAAGGAATCGGAGATGGGGTTCCTCTCTTTTGGGGGCGGCGGCGGGGGGAGTCTGTTGTAATAGACGGTCGTGGCTCTCGCTCTAGAATTTGCTCATGAGTAATTTGCAGCAGTGAAAGTCTGTGCTGTCTGCTACCTGCAGCGCCAAGTGAGGAAATGTTGTGTCCAATGAAGGAAGCATTGTTACTGCTGCTAAAATTACTGTTGAAGTAAATCTCTCTGCAGAGTTGACTCCGCTGGGGAATACTGTGGTGATCTAATATTTACAGCATTTTCCCAGCCTTTCACCCATAATGTGCTTGAGTTGGGAGTTCCCCTTATTTAGCCTTGCAACAATAATGTGAAAATAGGTTTGGTTGCAAGGGAATGACAGGGCCAAGAGCAGCTGGTGAGTTTCATGTTTCCAGGTTTAGTCCAATGCTATGTCATTCTTGATATGCCATGTCGCACATCTGGAGCAGCTAATGACTTGCATTAAGTGCTGAAATATGCTTGTGTGAACTATTCACTGATGGAGCTATTAGATGAGCTATGAAAGGTTTCTTTTTGCTAGAATTCTGCCCTCCAAATGGCTGTTGAAAAGCACAGTCAAATTAATACTGAAGGCTGAATTACTGTCTGTTGCACATTAACTTTACAAATTCATAATGTTTGCAATGGGTGTGTGTAGTAACCTTTTTACTCGTTTTCATAGGATATGCACAAACAGTCTATGTTCAGAGAGCTAGATGTGTGATATACCTCAGAGTTATTGCTGGTCATATGCTGGAAACCTAAAAGTGAGACAGTAGTCAGCCCGAACAAGAGGCAGAATATTCAAAAAGCTGGCACACCAAAGCCTGCTGAAAACATCAGCTTCATGTATAAATTATGTAAATCAATCCAGAGTCTACATTGCTTGCATCATTTGTTGCATACTTTTAAAAAGTTTAGGTTAACATTAGAATATCTTCTGCTTCATACAGTCATTTCTTACTGAATTGGCTCTCTAATCTGCTCTTCACATAAAGGTTAGAGTTATTAAACTTCTTTTGTGATGTACTTTTCCATATTTTTTCAGGCCATCCACATAACAGAATTGCTAGACAAAATTGCTCCATGGAGTAATCATCCCTTTTGTGGATGATCTCTGGAAGCAGCCTAGGCCAGTGCAGCCTCAGTAAAACATGCATATCCCACCATCCTCTTCTTTCAGTGGATGTGATCAGAATAGATTTTAGGATACTTTAAGAATGTTTAAAGTTGTAGTAATTGCTTGTGAGAAATAGATTACCATTGCTTTGTCCTAGGAGGCAAAACTTAATCTGTTGTGAAAGGAAGCAGAATTTATCTAGAGGCAAACCATGTTGAGTAATCTTAAAGGATTAGTTGGCATTAGGTGCTTTACTTTTCTGTAGCTCACAGTGGGACACATGCATTCATCAACAGGCAGAGAGGTAGAGCTTTGCTATTTATCATTAAACAAGCAGTTCTGCCACTTGCTGTGTGAATAAGGATGAATTACAGTGTAATCATATGTTTGTATACCCAGAAGTAAGTCTCACTGAACTCAGTAGGACCTATTCCTAAGTAACCTTAGTCTTTAACCAGATGCTTGTGAATGTCAAAATGATACTTGCAGCTCATTGTCCATATGAGTTATGAGAACTATACCTATACTATAGTTCTTAGAAAGGGAAGGGGCAAGCTGGAGGGCTACACATCCCTTTCTTGCATCCCTACAAGCCCTTTAAAATAAAAAGATGCAAAGGAGTTAAGTGTGTATCTCTGTGTTGTCATGGACTGTGATTCATGCAATGTATCTTGCAGCCAAGAGTTGCCTGAGGGCTAATCTTGCAAAACAAGTGAAAATGTAACACAGATGTAAAGATTGGGAAGGTGCATCTTTGCATTCACATATTGCAAACATTCCTCTCATTCTCTGAAAGAGAATAGCTCTTATCTTAGCTCGGTGTCTGACAGATAAGGTTTTCTGTAAGTTCTTGCAGGAATTCATTTCAGCCTATACAAAGTTCTTATCCATTTGAGCTGTGCTGTAGAAAGCAGTGTTTTGAGCTTGGAGAAGCTTGGTATACAACATTTTCTGAGCTTTGAAAGGAAATTGTAATGACTAAAGGCTAGTAATTGCTAGGATTGTGTCCCTTCAAGCCGCAGTTTGTTTGTTTGGGGGTACTTTTGGCTGGGTCTTCAGAAGCTGACTCAGTCTTTGATTTGTACTGTAAAGTTGGGAGGGGAAAACAGTGATATCTGTGGAATTGTGTTCTTCAGGCTGTGCTATTAACCAAAGAAATATTGCCTGAATAAATGGTAACTAGAATTTATTAACATGGAAGGAAAATTCTGCAGAATGCATTGATTTCAGATATGATAGATCTGAGAAATGGACTACCTAGTTGTGCCAATACAAGAATTCCTAAAGGTGTAGCTATTCAGCCTGTTTCCATACCCCCTCTCAGTTACACTGTAAAAATCAGTTAAAGGCCCATTATTATCTGTAAGATATTGAGTAAAATAACTATTCTTATGGAATGGGGACTGACTGTTCTTTAGCAGCCAGATATGATGATGAGGATAACTTCCTTGGAGATGCACAAGACAAATGCTGCTTTCAGGTTGTGGGTTTCTATGCCTTGTCAATATAGTGGCATTGCACTTTTAGGTTTTATCTGTGTTTTATTGTCCAGCATCTGTTCAGTTACCAATAATACTCTTGTCCTAATACATATTGGCTGAAGGAAGCCCATGGCTTATCCCTAAAGCCAGAACAGGGGAATTTAAATCATTTAAATTATATTGATAAGCACTCATATAGAAAGAAAAAAGTGAAAGTATTCCTGTTTAATGGGCTTAGTTAAATTGGATTGGCCTCTGTATAATTCTGGTAAATGTTGCTAGGAGCCAAGACTCCCTATACATTTGTTACACTTTAGTGACCTGTTGCATCCTCTTTTTTCCTCTCAGACTTGAAAGAACATCTTCAGACCCAAACAGTCTTTTTATTTTTATGTTGTTATGTGCCTTCAAATCATGCTTGACTTATGGGAACCCTATGGATGAATGCCCTCCAGATTTACCTGTCCTTGAAGTCCTTGCTCAGCTCTTGTAAACTGAAGACAGTGTCTTTATGGAATTAGATCCATGACATAGCTGGCTTTCCTCTTATTATGCCTTGCTCTTTCCTTAGCATGATGCTCTTTTCCAGAGGGTTTTGCCTTCTCAGAATGTACCCAAAGTACAATAGCTTCAATTCTGTCACTTTTGCTTCCAGGGAAAGTTCTGGCTTGATTTGATCCAGGGCCCACTTGATCACCTTTTTATTGGTCCAGGGTATTAGCAAAGCTTTCCTCCATCACCATGTCTTGAATGCATCTTTTTTCTTTCTGTCAGACTTTACCAGCCAGCTTTCACACCCATACATAGTAAATGGGAATAGAGTAGTGTAGATGATGGTCTGCAGTGAAGTAGCCTCGCTCCTGGTGGTGAGTCCTGGTTCCTTCATTGCTGCCCTTCCCTGTCTCAGTCTTCTTTGAATTTCTTAACTTCAGTATCTGTTTGAATTGATAACAGTTGAGAAGAGCATTTTTTCAGTTTCTTTAATAGTTGACTTTAGATTACTATAATTCTTCTATAGTCATGATTACTTTCAATGTTCAGCTGCAGTCTTGCTTTTGTGCTTTCTTTCACTTTCATTGGGAGTTTTTCCAGTTCATTTCTGCTTTCTGCCAGTAATATGGTACCAGCTATGCTTCTTAAATTTAAACCCTAACCCTGTATATCTCTTTACCAATTTTCATGATAAAGGCTGTCCAGGTGAACTACTAAATCCAGTTAAGATGGAGCCCTTTGTTCCCCCAAATTAGTACGACTTTGCCCTCAACTCTCTCATCTTCCCTCTAGACCTTTGCTTCTACCTTTAGCCATTATTATTTGTAATTATTCAAAATCTAAATTTAAATTACAAAAGTGTAGATGAAGGGAGCACAACCTTCTCTTTCCCTCCTAAGATATGTAATTTGCTTTATGCTTGACTGGATGCCTCACCTTCATATGAACTTGTGAACTTAGTTTCATCACCGTCTTTTATTTCATGGGTGAGTGCCATTAGAAACACAGCCAGTAGGAATTTATGTCATGGCATGAGAAGGACCATGGGTGGGTGGTGCATAGTGAAAGGCCTAAACAGCTGCCTCTTGAACAGTGTGTTACTTCCTGAGACTATAGACCAAACTTATAATGTACAACGGAGTGGGAGTATCTCATACTTTGGACTTTCCGCCTGCCTGCCAAAAGACTTGATTACTGCTGGAAATTATTTCTCAGATCTTTTTATACAAAAGGGTGGAGCTGGGATTCAGAGAGACATAGGGTCTGGACAAAAAGTTGGGCCCCATGTTTGATCAGGCTGTTTTTGAAGTAAAAAAAAAAAAAAGTGGTAGTCCATTAGCAAAGAAATAGTATCGCAAGCCTTCCTGCTTGTGCCAACTAATGGATGCTGCTCAGATTTTGATTGACACACACCTTCTCACTTTAGAAGTTGTGTCTCCTCAGTTGCATTCGGAAAAAGACTCTCATATTGCTTTC